TTACCATGATGAAGAGATAGCATTGTCAGACAGAAGCAGCTTACAAATACTTGCCCCAATTCACTCACATTATCAACCCTGACATACTGACATACCGGAAAGGCTGTGGAGTCTTTGGCTAAATCCACAACATCGGGCTCTTCTTCAAACATGCTGTTCTCAATCATGTTCCTCGGCAGGCTGGCACGCTCTGTTTCACAAAGAGGAAGAGAAATCAGACAGATGCTGCTCAGAAAAAAGGGAAATGATTGAAAGGAGAGAGATGTAACAGAATAAAGATAAATTATATAGAATTACAGAGTAGCAGAAACGACTATCTGGCACAAAGAGCAATGTTGTCACTGAATGCGCTTTCAACACAAAGCCACGTTTCATAAAGTGCTCACAGAGTTTTTGCAATTTCCCGTTAGAACACCTTCAGTATTTCCTGCTTCTTTTATCTACACAGAACAGGTTTATCAGGTTGTTGAAAGACTAAACTGCAGACATTACAAACCTGGAATAACTTCTTCTTCACAGGGAAAAGAAGTGAATAAAGTCCCCAAATAGGAAAACGCTAAAGCAAAGACTACTCATCACTAGACCATGTCACATGCAGTTTTTAAAGGCATGCATTTCCTCAAACTAACCTGCATATGCAACTTTATGACAAGAGAAGGCCTTGTTTTACAAACTTTAAGTCACTGCCTGGAAGCCAGACTCTCCCCACAGTAATTCCTGAAACAATCAGAGGCATGTTCAACTTCCTAATTCAATAACTAAAGTATTAAAATGCTGAACTGTGCAACTCTGCAGTTTCAGCCCCACAGTCCATTCATGGTTTTACAGCCTAAACAGTTTTCACTTTCCATTTCATGGCTGTAAGTGGAAAGCACAGAAAGACACTGAACACCTGAAGTGTTTACTCAAAAACAACTACAGCAAACAAAGATGAGCTTTAACTCCCAAAGAAAGTCAGCAGACCAGAAATGTCAGAGGTGAATTATTTTGCTCCTTGTGTGCTCGGTACAGTGTTTCTGATATGACAGCGTGGGTCGACAGTCTCTCTGTCTAGACCACACTGCTGCATGATGAATATCTATAAATAGGTTAGGAGCTAAGCAATGGGCAAAGTGGAAGGTCTACAAGGGTTTATAAGAATAGCAGCGACTAAACACGTTAAACAGATATTTCATATGAGCAAAATGACATTCTCAGAAGAGAGAAGTGGTTATGGTGATGGTTATGATTAAGCAGGATAAATGTAAAACACCCACAGGTCTGAGTGTAAATACACTAAAGCAGTTTATCTGCAAACTGGGGTTTTCCTGTTTATGCAAAACAGGTACAAACCCAACAGCAGACTCACAGAACTACAACTAAATATGTCCCTGTGTTTGGCAGGTGTGTCCCCAAGTAATAAAACACAGAAAACACACTGCAAAATGGCTCACTGTTTAAAGTTTATAGGAAGGGAGAATCTGTAAACGTTTTAACATCATTATCTGATGAAGATGTGATTGCGAAATACAAGTTTGGTCTCAGAAAATCACAAAGTCACAATCAAACCTCCTTACATGCACGCAAAGATACACAAAATCAGGAAGTCAAACTACAGTGATTTTTCTGCTGCTACTTTCCTCTGAGCTGTTATAGTGTGTACACAGCCTTCTCTTTTGTTTGCTCTAATAAAACAATGCACGTCATGGGACCATAACAGAGGTTATAAACAACATGAGCGGCTGGGAGCGTGACTTATCGGCGCTCCACGTCAGGAGAAAACACAGCAGCTATCAAACCAAGCACACTTAAATCGAGCAAACAGTGCTGCTATGCTGTTACAGATAACTTGAAACGTAACAGGGTGCTTTGTTAACACAACCTCTGTTCTTAAGCTGTTAGAAATGTGTTTCATTATCTTTATTTCAGTTAAAATATTTAAGCAGCCCACTGATTGATGCATATGGGGAAATGAAACTCGTATGCAAATGTAAGTGTCATGTCATGGTAGGACTATCAACAATCAACAAGATCGATTCTGAGAGTAAAATTAAGGAAATTACGCAGCAAAGACAAAGCTGCTTTATTACAGTTTTTAAAAGTCAATCGCAGCATGTGTCCTCGGGTGAATGTCACTCCCAGCCAAATGTCCCGACAGTTATTAGCTGGCCTGCTGCTGTTAGCTTGCTCTTTTACTGTACCTTCTGCCCGTGTCTACTTACCTGAACTGTTACTGTCAAACAAATCCATGGTAAGATATCTCAAAAGATCTTGTCCCGTCCAAAACAAAAAAAATGGGAAACCTCTGCACTCTCAAAGACGCTAGACAGCCAAGATGATTTTATCGCTGGCAACAACCTACCGCAGGCTCCCTGACACCACACTAGCGGTAGCTAACTACGTAGTAGCTAGCCTGAAACTAGCCAACTTCTGACAATTGTAACCGACTGAAATACATTCAGTTAGCTAACGTTAGCCGCTTTCCATAACTTTATCGCCCATAGCTGTTTATTCAAGTTAAAAAGCGAGTAAGGGGCGGTTGTCCTTAACTAATACACCTTGAGCTAAAAACACATGAACTACTCTTGCTCGCTAAAACGCTCGGCAAACAACAAACACACGAACAAATGATACTTTTCCTCCTCTCCGATCAGTTGTTGACGACCTCCGTCAAATTACAATAATCATATCTGATTGGATGTTCCCACCGGGAGGCGGGGCCACGTGCACTACGGATGAATGCGCTCCAACAAAAATAGTTTGGTTATCCTGAGAGGACGACGTTCGTGTATGTGGTAAATACAGCGTTTTTATATTCTATTTTTGATGTGTATGCATGTTTATGTAAAGTGGGGGAAATAATTATTTCATTCCCTGCTGACTTCCAAAGAGATGACCAGTGCCTACATTTTATAATAGTTTCATTTTAATCGCGAGAGACATAATATCAAACTATAATCAAGAAAAACAGATACAAATTATACGTTGATTTTCATGTCATTGAGGGGACTGTCTGATCCCAAGCAAAACAAACCCTTCTTGACAAGCACAGCAGTAAGATGTTTTTTGGAGTTGGTCACCAGGTTTGTTCCCTCTCCTTTAGGGTTCTTGGTTGCTGTTTTTCAGCTCCCTTCACAGATTTTCTGTAGGACTGAGGTCTAGAGACTGTCTAGGCAACAGCATGATCATAATTTGCTTCTTCTTTAGCCACTCCTTTGTGGACTTGGTGGTATGTTTTGTTTTGGTTTTATCATCCACGACCCATCTTTAGTATTCTGGCTGAGGGAAGGAGGTTTTCATCCAGTACATGGCACCGTCCATCAATCCTTCATTGTAGTTAAGTTGTCCTGTACCCTTAGCAGAAATGGCCCCAAGCCTTCTCTGGATCATTTAGATGTTCACTGGCAAACTTAAGACGGTCTGTACTGTGCCCTCTTGAGCAGGGAGACCTTGCAGGCACTGCAAGATTTCAGTCCATTACAGTGTAGTGTGTTACAGACAGTGTTCTCTGTGACTGTGGTCCCAACTGCCTTCAGATCATTAACAAGCTCCACGTTTTGGACTATGTGTGTGTTTTTGTTGTTTTAGTATAATAACAACAAATAAAGATTTATGATAGGACAGAACTTAAATAGGAAGTTACGATGATGATTATTAGTTACTAAACAGTGGCGATGTGGTGGGAATAATAAGCTTATACTTCTTCCTACTCCTTTATTCTCTCCCCTTGTTTTTGTCGTCAATCTATTTAAATTGTTTTACTTTAATTTACAGCCTAAACCCTAATAATAGGCATTAAGTATTTATACCAAGACCCAAACATAATATAGACGTACACAAGCTACACTCAAGACATAAAGGATATGTTTTAGTTTATGCAACAAAAACGCAGATACAGGAGGTACAACAAACTCTTTTATTGTCCATGTAGTGAACCGTGTTGGAATCTGGCCATTTGTATAGATGTGGTCAGGGTGAAACTATTACTTACACTGTGGTGGCACTGTTGTGCATTCTTTTTCTCATGTGTGAAAATGTGGGGAAAACAATCTTCATTTAATTGCTTTTTCATGACATGGCTGTAATGTTTTCTTTCCACATGAGGGCATAATAAAAAATCTTGAAAATTTACAAAGTTTATTTCTTTTTATGTTGTCGATATATATAAAAAATTACAGCTTAAAGCAAACAAGTCATTGCATTTGATTTAAATACTGAGGAGCATAGCTGTGCATTAACTGTTGTGTTTAATAATTTGATTTTTGTAAGTACTCATTTAACTGTTCGTGTTTAACTTCAAACCCGTTTGTTTTGATGTTTGTGAATGTGTAACAAGGCTTCTGTTTCATTATATGACTCCTTTAGTTTACTGGCTTCTGCTCATTGTTCTTGTTCAGGCCTTAGTAACACATAAAGAATATGGTAAAGCCAGGAACTGTGCAGTGCATTGGGGGGCAGGAAGAACTCCATTCCTTAAAACATAATTTAACTACTGTTTGCTTTTAATAAGAGTCCGATCTTAGCTATATTTTTCCAGTTTATTTATTTATTTACTAAATCTGACAAACTTGTTTAACTCGTTTCCTCTTTTGGTTTACTGTCATGTGACCTATCTTTCTCAAATTCTGCAGACTTGCCCCTTCTGACGCTGACATTGCTTTTTTCGTTGTTTGTTTTTTTACCAGCTTCTCAAATTTTACTTGCGTGTGGCTGATGTCAAAGTCTGTTTGTGTGAGAACAACTGTAGTGAAAAACTGAAAAAATATATAGTCCCAACTCAATGTGAATTCTGATTATATTTGTGGCTCCCTAATGACTTCATCACTGGTTGCAGTGAGTAGTCAGACTTTTATCTGTTGTAGCTGTTGCCACCCCTGGCCACCCATGGGCTCCACCCCTGATGGTGAAGAATCCATTTATGCTGTGTTTCTTGCCTCTTTGGAATGAATCTCTTTGTTTCACACACACTAAAAATAACACAAAACTTATTCTTATACAAACCATTACCACTTAGCTGCCAGTAATTTTTAGTTCTTGTTTTAATGAACAAATTCCCTGAAATTCACATGTTTTGTATTTACAAGTCTGTCAACCCTTCAGTGATTTCAAGCATATACATTTCTGAATAAAAAACAAATAAAAAAAAACACTGTGAGATAGTCCCTCTGTGGTATGTTAAAGCCACCACCTTTGTCCCTGCTGTCTTTTACTGCATCTGCTCATTCAGCCATTTTCTGAGCGTCTCCAGGTTCCGCTGAACCCAGCGGACATTTTTCAGTACATTGTCCAGGGCAATCTGAGTAGCTCTCAGCTGAGAAGCCTGTTCTTTGATGGACTCAAAGAATGACTGCACCTGGGGGCAAAAACACAACTATTTAAGTGAAAACAGACAAAAAGTTCAAAGAAATCTACTCGTTCAGTTATAACTGCAACAAGGCTAGCACATATTAGTTATTTGACCTCTCAGAATAGCAATACACAGTACCAGCGTCTGGGTAGTTGTGACTGGAACTATACTTTCTTTTTAACATTTAACATTTAGCTTCTAACTTTCTTTCTTTCTTTCCTTTGGGCATTGGAGTACAAATTCAAATACAAAATATAGGATTCTCTATTATAAAATACTGTTTGACATGTTTTAAATGCTTGGCCACAATACTTAGATTTTCTTTAAGTGCTTTGACATACCACGAGGCATGTTTAGAAATAAATATTAAACATATAATCAACTTTTGAAAAACACTGCGAAGGTGAGCTAAATATTATGTCAGTATATTGCTGAGTATCTAAACTTCTTTGTGGAATATAAACCACGTTATTTACCTCAGTGAGTTCTTCTGGAGAGGAAAACTGACTTGTGGTGCCAATGATGATGTTTCTAATGCAAAATGAGCCCAGCTGGAACCTGCAGACCAGAAAGACAACAGACAAGAAGGTCAAGACAAATATATCTGAATATCCAGACTGTGGTGCTTGTATGATATGGTACTTTTAAACACTACAACGCAAATCTAAATTACAAGGCCAGTTTGAGGGGAAAAAAAGATTTCACTGAATATGCTATAGTTAAAAATAGCATTAAAAACTGCATTTATATGGCACGCTTTTTAGGACAGTCTCTGTTATACTGACTTCTGAACCAGTGTGTCCCAGTTCTTTTTCACAAAGTCCCATGCAAGGTAATGTCCTTTCGGATTTCTGGCTACCATTAGTATGAGAGTGGACAGATCCTGGGATCGAATCACCTTTCCCTCCAAACCCAGCTCCAGCAGGCTGTAACAAAAACACAAACATGAACACAAAGACTACTAACTATAATTTTCAATTTACCATACACTTCAATAAGTAGGCTCAGACTTTGAGGTTACTAATCCATACATGCCTCCATGTTTACCACAAGGTGGCAGCATTTCTGCTATATTTTCCAACAACAGCATGAAGACAACATACCCTTCAAGTTTGCTGGTGTCTTTGCTGCTGGTCAAAGCATACAGGATCTTGTGCTTTTGTGCCTCAGAGAGGGAAATCTTGTATGTGTGTAAGAGCGAGGGCCAGCCGTGGTCATCCTGAGCTCCAACTGAATACACAGTCTCTGCCACATCAGTGGGCAGGCTGAAGTAAACACAAACACAGACGTGCATATTAGGGATATGGTGACATATCAGATTATATGAGCTCTCTTAGCACAGGAAAGAGCAGTTGTTTATGTGAATCATATATGTGGTTGCTGACTGTGAATGAGTGTTGAAGTGTAGTTTAGATATACTTGAGGGTTCCGTTGGACTGGAGCCAGTCGCTGAAGTGCTGACGTGCCCGCTTCACACAGGGAGGGTCATCCAAGTGACAAGCCAGTGACAGGACCTCAGTCCTAAGACGTCGCTCTGATACAGTGCCGCTGTCACTCCACGTCTGCTGGTCGATGACGGCACGGAAAAATCGCAAGATGTATGCCTGTAGAAACACAGGACAACAGAAACAACAACTCACATTAAACTAAGGCCATAATGACATAAAAACATCAAACTGTGTCCTGCATTCTTACCCCCAGGTTATGTGTTAAAACTGACTCATCTCTTTTCTCAACCAGATGGTAAAAAGCTTCTAGATATCCCAGTCCTTGGAGGAGAGGCACTGTGTGCGTTTCCAGTAGCAGATAACCGATTAAGTCTAAGGCTTTATTGAGCGGCAGATGACCAGCGCTTTAGAAGAAATAAATATAAAGAGAAGATTATTGTTTTCTATTTTGCTTTTAGTAATCAAAGCTGTTTTCTTATACAGAAACCTCTTGCTAGCTCACGTAAACCACAAACAGTTACACACACAAACATATACTTACGTGACCAACTGAAAGGCGTTGTGTATCAAATGAGTTCTGTCTTTGTAGCTCAGAGCAGTGTGGTTTTCCCTCAGCAGTTTAGTCATCACATCCCAGCCACCATCCTCATAATGAACCATGTAATAGCCCGTCATATCGGAGTTTACCTTAACCCAGCTGGCTTCCTCTCCTATATGTATACTATCTGAATAAAACATATACAGTAAAAGATGGAGCAAAGATCAAGATAATGGCAAAGAAAAGTGAAAACTTTTTATTCAGCTTTATTCAATTTTATATTCCCCTCTTACCTGTAGGTGATGTCATCAGGTGTCTGTGGATGATGCTGGAACTGTCTGTCTTATATGTCAGAGGAATATGCCAAAGGAAACTATACAAAAAAGAAATTTATACTCACAAAAGATACAAATCCTTCATCCATGACCATAAAGACATGGTAGTAATACATAGAGGAGTTACATGTAGAGTAAGTAACATAACAATGTGTTAAATAGTAGAAAATTTTAGAAAAGCATGTGCATATTTACCCCTTCTGCAAAGTGGACCACTGAGGGTCAGAGGGCAGCACTGTCCTCAGGAATCTGTCCTGTCTAAGCAGCAGACGAGCCCCCTTCCTCGTCACAGTTACCAGAGGGATACCTTTCTGCAGAGTCCACGTGTTCATCATGGCTGTTAGGTTCAAATGTTCCCCAGCAAACAGGTACTGTAGGAGACAGTCCACTGAAATTAACATGCAACCACAGTCTTATAAACTTAGTGACATTTATATGAGGTAAGCAGTGAAGACGACCCAGTGAGTTTATTTTTAAATGTTTGCTCACTGCATTTTTGGAGGCCTGGCTACTGCTGTAACAGTGTTTCCCTGAGATGAAGTCCTCCTCTGAGCAGGTCTGAAAAACAGAATGAAAGTGATGATTTTATGCTGTCTTTTCTTATCAAAGTCACATTAAATTTATGTTATAATCAGTGGTGAGCATTTTAAAGTAACAAACTACTGTAATCACATTACCTTAATCAGCAATGCAGTAATGTAACACATTACTGTACTAAATTCAGCAGTTGCATTACAGTTATAATTATTTTGTTGCTTGCGCTACACAGATTCTTCACTTTTCTGCATGCTGGGCAAATAGAAAGGAAAAGACAAACAGATGTGCATTTTTTCTTCCTGAATTTTTCTACAGTCAGCTGATTTAAATTTGTGTGCAGGATGAGGAAAATTTTGGAGTGGTCTACGGCTTTTGAGCGAGGAGAAATTGACATTACTTTTATTTTTATTCAAAGAAAGGACAAGAGTGCAATGGTGAAATACCAACTGCGTCCAAGACAGAAAGAACTGCTTTATAGTGCTAACAGACCTTTGGCTCTTTGGAACCCAGAGCGATGTTAAGGCCGAATGCATGCTGACCCCAGTCCAGCAGCCAGAGCCGGAACATCCACAGGTAACAAAACCAGTAATGAACAGAAAGGCTTGTAACATTGTAACCTCTGTTGCTACTTGTAAATGTCGCTACAGTAAATTCATCTTGGCATTCGCTTTAAGAACTCTTTCGGCTGGTTTTCAGCTTTGCTTTGTGTTGTCGTTGTTTTGTGTTCATTCAGGAAAACTAAAAGAAAGCTCTTGTGTGTATACTCATTAGGATCGGGATTTGTCTTGGTGTGTGGGACTGTAGCCTAAGAATTATATCGCTAACCAGTAATTATGTGACAATGCATTTCAGGTCATTTTACAGAGAAACATGAAAATAATGTAATGTAATGAGTAGTGTAACAATTTATTTTCTTCTGTGAGTAAATAGATAAAGTAACAAAGTAACAAGCGATGTTTATTAAATTACTTTTTTGAGTAACAATCCCAACACGGGTTATAATACACTACACATTTTCTGGATTTACTTCCTATTATTTTTCTGCCATGCCAGACTGTTTTGCCCTATTTAGTTGTGTTTAATGGGGCGACCGTGGCTCAGGGGGTTGGGAAGCGCATCTGTAACCGGAAGGTCGCCGGTTTGATCCCCGGGCTCTCTGTCGTTGTGTCCTTGGGCAAGACACTTTACCCTACCGCCCACTGGTGATGGCCAGAGGGGCCGATGGCGCGATATGGCAGCCTCGCTTCTGTCAGTCTGCCCCAGGGCAGCTGTGGCTACAACTGTAGCTGCCTCCACCAGTGTGTGAATGTGAGAGTGAATGAATAGTGGCATTGTAAAGCGCTTTGGGTGCCTTGAAAAGCGCTATATAAATCCAATCCATTATTATTATTAATATCATCACCTGTCAGATTGTTTGTCCTTAATTTTTCCACCTCTTGTTTCTGGTCTTTCTTGAGCTGCTTTTTGATTCCTACCTTGTTTTTTTCTAACCAATTAGACTTTCTGTATCTCAGCTTTTTTTTGTTTATTTTTCTTTCCTTGTAAATTTGGGACCTCTCTCTAGCATATCCTGACATGTATTTCATTTAATTTTTGGATGTGATTGTTATAATGGGATTTTAAATTTGCTTGACATTGATAATCCATTACAGTGTACACTGTGATTGCTTTTTTTTTTTGTCTCTTGTTATTTTTGCCTGGAAAGGCAATGAATTCTTTTTTTTCAGTCAGTCTGCACTCATTACAGCTTTACCAGGCACAGACAAAACACTGACTGCAGTAACAACAGATTTAATGTTCACTCTGTTTATTACTTTAGCTACTCTAAGCAACTTTAAAGTCTGAGCTAATCGATTTTTGCACCATGAAATGGAAAACCTTAGCTGTTTGGAACAAAAACAAATAACAACAAATCTATAACACTGCTGTTACCAGAAGTTTAAAATGCTTATTTGTAAAACCTACATTTTTATGGGCTACATTAAAAAAAAAAACTAAAGACTATCATCTGATGGAGTCCCAGCTGTTACAGAAACCATTATAAGGGTAGTGTATTATTACTCAACAAACATCTGAGACAGAGTCACGTACTCTGGGTCCCAGTATTGTCTCCTCTCCTCTACTTCATCCTGCCTCTTCTCAGCGATTATGGTTAAGACTACAAATCTTTTTATACTGAAACCTTTAAGCTTGTCTCTGCAACTAGAAAAAAAAAAATCCTTTTATATATTGAAATTCTGGATTCTCATCCCAAAATTTCAAGTCAATAACCCAAAGTTTAAAGTTATTTTCTCAATTCAATTTGGAGTTACTTTCTTAAAAGTTAGTGTTTGTATGTCAAGTGTTGTGTTAACATAACATAACTGTGGATCTGTCACGATCTGCTCTTTCATGATAACGTCAAGATGACAAACTATCATAAAAAGGTGAGTACTTCAGAAATAAAAGGACAAGCAGAAGCTTTCGATGAATATCTGTTCTATCTACCTGTAATCAAACTCTTATGTCGCCTTTTTAGTTTCATCATCTACTAAAATAGTTTGGACCACATATGGGGAAAAAAAAGCCAAATAATGTAAAATATATCTCTGTCAGGCTGCGTGTTACTTTGACCATCTCTCATAATTTACACAAAAGAAAACGGTGCCTTTTGACACAGTTAGTGTAATATAGGTTCTTACGTTGGCCAGACTGTCCCACAGATCCTGATTGTGTGCATTTTTGTAGCTGTACTTGCGGAGGTATCGCACGATCCCTCTCTGAAACACTTCATCTGTCAGAAAGTGTCGCAGCATGTGCAGGACACAAGCGCCCTGGTAAGAAAGAGAGAAAAGGTTGGGACAAGTCCTGGAGGCTCAAAGGAGTGTTTACATCAAGCAAAAGGAAAAAAAAAGGTTTTGAAAAGATTTTCTGTCATAGAAACATTTTGAAACATGCAAAGACAAAGACATACTTTGTCATAAGAGACTGTGTCAAACATCTCTTTGATCTGAGTGGGGTTCTCTGCTGGGCTAGATATTGGCCGAGAGGAGTTCAATGAATCGTGACCCACAGCTGCAAAGCAGGTGTGCAGCAGATATTCCTCCTGCAAGAGTGAGCACACAATATGAATATTAATCTTCTTTCTCGGGTTTAATATTAATCTGTCAATCAATGATTAAAGCACATACCACTTTGAGGTCCGGGTAAGTGGCTTCCACAGAAATGTACTCCATGTATCTGGCAAATCCTTCATTCAGCCAGATATCGTTCCACCACTCCATGGTCACCAGGTTGCCAAACCACTGCCAGCAAGAATTATAATTTTGACTCTTTCTGTAATAAAGTGATTGCCTGACAGCATTTAAACCTGCATGTCATTACTGTATGCATACACTGTCATAGTCCCACCTGATGGGCGAGCTCATGGCCAATGACCATTGTAACCCAGAGTTTATCAGAAACAGAGGATGTGAGGGGGTCGTAGAGAAGACTGGTCTCTCTGTAGGTGGTCAGACCCCAGTTTTCCATAGCACCAGACTGGAAGTCTGGAATGGCTATCAGATCTGAATGAAGAGCATATGGATAAGGATACTTATAGCTTATATTTCTGGCTTTGTTCTCAAAGCAAAAAAAAATAAATTACCTTGTTTGGGTAAAGGATAGCGGATGTTGAAAAACTCCTCATAGAAGTCTAGCATTTTAACAGCAACCTCCAGGGCGTAGTGGGTTTGTTGCCACTTCTCTGGGGCTGCATAGATGGAAACCTGCAGTGAAAACACAAGAAACAGGCACTTAGACTGAGAAAGTAAGGAGGAAATGAAGGCATTTCATACGAGACATTATCATGTAGACCACACCTGCACCCCAGAGGATGTTGTTCCAGTGACAGACTTAAAGTCACAAATGACAAACGCCACGAGGTAAGTACTCATCTGTACACTTGGAGCAAACTGGTCCTCAAGCAAGTCGCCGCTGACTTCAACTGTTTTGATCTGAAAACCACAAAGACTCAATTGAAGTGCTTTTGTTTTGTTTTGTTTTCATTTGAACATTTGTGACCACTGGCACATATGCAACACTTACTACTGGCATGTTGGACAAAGAAATGTACTCGGGACGTCTCCTAATTCGTACAGAGAAATTGGCTTTGAAGCTTGGCTCATCGAAACAAGGGAATGCCATTCGAGCACTCGTAGGCTCAAAGTGAGTTGAAGCCAAGGTTCTAAGAATAGATATTATCAGATTTTCAGTAAAGACACTTGTAGGTATGTGTAAGATAGCTTACAATCCATGCTGTGGAATAGTACACCTGGTCTCACCTGGTCTCTCCTGTACTGGTTCTGTAGGTGCTCTTATAGAAGCCATAGAAACCTTCTGCAAGTTCTGCTCCAAACTCAATATACAGGAAATACTTCTGCCCACTGCTGAGCACTCTGGGAGAAAAAATGCCTATCTGCTCATGGGAAGGGTTATGAAGAACTGGGAGGACCTGGAACAGAAGGAGATTGATGGGTCTGATGTAGGCCACAATGACAAATGAGCTGATGTGCATTCACAACTACCTGTTCTGATAGATGAGCGAGGTTCTGGTCTAATATGGTGGCTTTGGAGATCTGAAGACCCTTGCTGTGTAATACGACCCAGTTTGTATTGTTCTGCACATCAATCTGAATCTGCACTGAGCCAGTGAAACTTAGACTTGTGAGGTTGGGGTGCAGGAGGAGGTGATAGTGAAGAGGAATGATGTACCTGAGATAAATTAAGACATTGACAAATATCCATCACCTTTCTTGTTATTGATTCATTTATTTTAATACAATAGCGAGTGCAGAACTTACTTTGGTAGGCGAAGACGACTCCAGGGGAAGGACAGGTTATCGATACTCAGAGATGGTTCCCCTGCAGGATGAGCAGGAGGGCTTGAAACCTGTTGTGAACTCTCGGTGGGCTGAGACCCAACCAGAGACGCACTAAAGAGGGACAGCACCAACAGCCTGGCAGAGACCATTGCAGACTAAATGAATTTCTACAACCGATTAGAAAGATGCCAAACTCTGACGTGACAGGTTGACAGATAGCGTTAATATCACTCTATCATATCCTGAACACAGGGAAAAAATAAGAGGGCGCTGAAGTGACTGTCAGACGATGATATTGAGGAAGCAAAAGCAAGAACAGCAAGCTCTTGGGACTTCTTTCCTTAAACCTGAAAGACACAAATGAAAGATCATGAACACATGAGTCTCTTGGAAGAACCCTTTATTCTTCTTCTTATCTGTAGAGGTCTAAGTCCTCCTTCCAAATATGGCAAATGGTTTCAAAGTTGCATGCTGTAAAATTTGGACAAACTTTAATTTTTCAACACAGCAGGACTTCACTTGGAACCCCTGGTCTGATGTTAATTTCTCTTCATCGCACAGCGAAGCAGCAATTAGAGAAAGGGCTTACAGTAATGGTGTTATACTGAAGCACGCTGCTGGATGTTAGGCTACAACATGTCTTGTCCTGAAGGAGAATCCAACATGTGACAAAAAAGCCACATGACTTTCCATGTGGACAAAACAAAATAAGGACACAGCTATAACTGTAAGGTGACAACAGCTGCAGGAGCTGCAGTTCAAATCGGGTTACCGAGACATTAGTTGTGCTGTACCATAGTGAAAAGATAAGGCTGCTTGCTGCAACCTCTGAGCTCACCAGAAATGCACCAGACGGTGGAAGAGTGTTTAAATGTTGGAGTGTGCTAAAAAAAAGCCCCGTCTAAAGTCTGCTTCAGATGTAAAGTTTTAAAGAAATGTCAAAATGCGTTACCTCAGTCATTTTAGCTTCATCATGCTTCCTTTAAGGCCCTGCTGTAACTTTCACTTTCCCTTTTAAGTTTCCACCCACTAGTGATGACACAAAACTCTTTGTGTGCGTGCGTATGTGTGCGTATGTGTGCGTGTGTGCGT